CTTCAACCTCGAACCGCGGTGGACGACGATCCTCCCTGAGATCCGCTGTCCGATCCGAACCGGACAGTGCACCCGGGGGGGTCTCGGACGTTGCCTAATAGGGGGCGATGGACCCAAACCACCGACGTCGTGATCTTTTCGCAAACTCGACCCCAAAAGTCTGGAACCCGTTCCTGGGACACGCTTTTCATCGTGAGTCGTTTTTGTTCGAAACTCATGGGGCCTGGTACAGGCACCCAGGGGCCACAAATAGCGGAAACCTCCCGGCGTGATTTTCTCACAGCGCGAGGAGGTCCGTGAACGGGGGGGCGAAGAGAGCTGCACCTTTCGTTCACCCGTCGGGCCCCAGGGGCCCCTTTTGGTGCCCCTCGCTTCGCCCGCCCCCAAGCGCCAAGCCCCCCACTGGGCAACACCCGAGAGCCAGAACAAAAAACCCGAGAACCGCCAGAAAACTCCCGAGCAGACTGGCGCAGGGTCGCGGGAAAACGCACGCGACCTGGACACGGGGATGCGGAGAAAGCGCGCGAAAACGCGGGATCAAGGGAACGCGGACACAGATGCACACGGCCATGGCGGCGCGGCGCCCGCGCCGGCCTGCGTCGGGCGGGGAACATCGACGTTCGAGTGTTGCCTGTCTATAAAACAGGATGCTCGCCAGCGTGGGCCTCAAACGATGTATCCCTGGCAGCTTATGCTAGACACGCGCATTCCACTACTCGCAAAAAAACTATTCGCAAATGGCCTGGATCCGCCGCGGGGAGTTCACGATCCATGACGTCGGGGCAACTGTTCTTTTTGCGGACGACTGACTGCGAATAGGCATTCTGCGAATAGTGGAACGCGCTCGGTGATACGTTGCGTCATCTATGTGGAACAATCTCCGTGGTGCAGTTAACCAATGCTCACTGGTGAATTACCAACTCCATTGCTCGATCAATCATCCCACCCACCCACCCGCAGCTTGGTTTGCCAAACCCATGAGGCGGCAATGGTGATGCCTGCCTGGCGCCGGCTGTCGCATGGTTTCGGCCGCACTAGCGCGCAGGCTCGCTCACGGAGCGGCCAACTAGTCTGGCGCGGCCGACGCAGCCGCGGTGGCGCTAATCGCTGGGGACTGCCCACTACGCTTCACAGGACGCGCTGAAACGCGAACACCTTTGTGCGAATCGATGATTTGGGCGGGCGCGGTATCATGGCGACGTCGGCAACGACAGACACGATGATGACTGCATCGATGTTGATAACGACGGTGACGATGACGACGCCGAGGCAAATGACGGCGCCGATGCTGATCACGCCGATGACGATGATGGTGTCCACGCGTCGGCGATGACGCTTTTGGAAAGAATTCGACATGCGCGCGCAGTCGACGGGCGCGAGTGGCCCGCATTGAATTATTTGACAGGGGTCGCGCTTCCCCCCCAACACGCGCGCAAAGGGCGTTCGAATGCTTCGACATGCGCCCGCGAAGGGCCCTTGTGATCGCATGTGATGAGGATGTTGAACAATCGATGGTTGCTCAGGATTCGCAAGTACGAGCGCGCAGAGTGCTTCTTGGGGGAAAGCCGATGTTGCTAAACCACGTGTAATCATATCTAGTTTCGGGACACTCTACTCGGATGTCTGATGAAACCTATAAGTTCTGTTCACGAATGTCGGCATGCGCGCGCGACGGCGCGCGCGATCGCACTTCGTCCCAGTAGGGGTTCTCGGACATGGGCGATTTTGAAGAACGAGTCTGCGCGCATAACATGTGTTGCAGAAGGTGCTGTGGGAGCGGGCTCGAACCCGGCGTGGCTGGGATGAGATGAGAGAACATATCTGGGGAGCAATCTGTGTGGTACACTCGATGTTGTGCAAGTGAGGTGGTGCAACTTATGGTGTGCCATCTATATTGTGCAATTCATGTCTGCTTGCGGTGAATTGTCCATTCCACTGCTCGCGCAAACATGCCACCCACCCACCCGCAAGTTGGTTTGTAAACCTCATGCGGCGGCGATTGCGATGAGTGCTTGGCGCTGGCTGGTGCATCTGTGCGGCCGCGCCAGCCCGCGCATGCGCGCGCGCAGCGGAGTTTGGCGCGACCGACGCAGCCGCGGTAGTGCTGACCGCTCGGTACATCCAGGCGGGCACTTGGGTGCGAGTCGGCGGTATCATGGCAACGTCGACAATGGTGGACACGATGGTGATAGTAGCGATGTTAGCGACGATGCTGACAGCGACGACGGCACGGCCACTGACGGCACCGATGCCGATCACGCCGGCGACGGTGACGGCGTTTTTGCGTCGGTGATGGAGGTTCCGAACATGAGTTCGAAATGCGCGCGCGGCAAACGCGCGAGTGTGGCCCGCATGGGACTATTTGACACGGATCGTGTCACCACAAAGGGCGTTCGAATGATTTCGACATGCGCGCGCGAACCCGTTTGGTAGCATGTTACCGACATGTTGAAGAATAAAATGGTTGTCTTAAGAATTCGCAAAAGCGCGCACGCTTTTGTTGAACATCCGCGTTTTGAAACCAAGTGTTTTATTTTTTTTTTGGACGCTCGATTTTGAAATCCTCCCGACACCGAAGGATTTTGAAGGATTTCGGCATGCGCGCGCGACGAAGCGCGCGCGTGCACTTCGTCCCGATTTGTGCAAAGAATTCTCGCGACGGCACGCGCGCAAGGGCGTTCGAACGATTTCGAAATGCGCGCGCGAAGCCTGTTTGGTGGTATGTTCTCAACATCTTGAACGACAAACTATGCTTTTCTATTTCGAATTCGCGATAACGCGAACGCATGCTTCTTTTTAACATCCGTTTTGCGAAACCCTGTGGTTTTATATGTTTGTTGGACACTCGATTTTGAAGGATTTCGGCATGCGCGCGCGGCGACGCGCGCGTGTGCATTTCGTCCCATGTTTTGCAAGGGATTATTGAAAACTTGTGGTTTTGGATAGACGAGAGTGCGCGCATAGCACTTCTTGCAGAGGATGGCGGGCGGGACCGATACCGGCCTGGCTGGGATACTATGAATTCAGAGGTAGGATGGACATTGGGTCTGAATCCTATGCGGTTTGCATTGGTCCCCAGTTTTTTTTTTTAACCCTGGGGGGAGGGGAGGTCGAACCTATTTCCTTCTTAGAAAGGAGAATCAACGTGCTGCTATGTCTGTGGTGCCATGCATGTGGGGCAAACCAGGTGGAGCAATCAGGGTGGAGCGACCTGATGCAATTTATGTGGCGCTATATGTGTTGTGCAATCTGTGTGTAGCACAACCTATGTGGTTCAACCTGTGTTGTGCAACCTCTATGGAACACTCTATATCTATGTGGTGCAGTCTGTGTGATGCAACCTGTGCGGTGCGCACCATCTGTGGTGCAATCTGTGTTGTGTGGAGGCGACGGCGACAACATAATTAGCCGCCAGACCGCCACCCAGGCCCAGACGACGGGCGGCGACGAGGCGGCGACGAGGCGGCGACGGGGCGACGACGGCGACCACACAGCCGTCAGGCCACCACACAAGCCCAGACGACGGGCGGCGACGAGGCGGCGCCGGCGAGAACAGAGCCGCCCCGCGGCCACACGGGCCCAGGCGACGGCTGGCGACGAGTCGGCGACGGCGACCACGTATCCGCCAGACCGCCACACAGGTCAAGCTCCTCAGGGAAAAATTTAAAAAAACCTAAGTGCAAGGACAGCCGGGGGAATCTTGTAAGGACATCCCGACCAGGATCTCGAGGCGGATCCAGCCGCGGCGACGAGGGCGACCAAAGAGCCCCCCACACAGGGCGCTCAAAAGCCTCAGTCCTTGCACCTCGAAACTCGATGGACGACGATCCTGCGATCCGACCTCATCCTGGCGAAGGGATGCTCTATTACGAAAATCAAAAGAGGCCTCGTGAATAAGGTCCGAGTAGACGGGGTCGGGGGGTCGCGCCGCATCGCCGATGCATCGCCGATGCATCGGTGGTGCTTCGGCGACGCCAACGCGGAGAAAATCGGAACCCACACCGACCCGAGCCGCATCGCCGATGCATCGGCGATGCGGCGCGATTCCTCGACCCCATCCACTCGGACCCCACCTGAGAGGCCTAGATCACCAGCTAGAAGACAACATTTGTGCCTTTCCAGAGCGCATGCGATTTTGGCAACACTACTCCTTCAAAGACAAACGCTCATGCGAGGCCTCGATGGGGCGTTCCGTATGCTGCAGCCTGGACCTGTCCTGGAGCGCATCCCGTCCAAAATCTCGAGGCGGCCCCAGCCGCGGCGACGAGGGCGATCCAATGCGACCTGTCCTGGAGCGACCTGTCCTGGAGCGCATCCCCACTTGTTAGGAGGCAACTACTGGGAGGTTTTCGCCGGAAAGATTGAGGATTGAGCCCCATCTGGGAGCTGTTACGCCAGAGTGGGCCTCGGACTGAGCAGGATCAAGCCGGATTGAGCGGGACGAAGCGGAATCAAGCCGGATTATAAGCGGGAACGAGCCAGACTAGGCCGGACGTGGCCGGATCTCGGACCAGGGCAGAATTCAGAACAGAATTTGACCTCCCAGGAGTTGAACTTGGGCCAGGCCTCGAGCGCGCGCTGTCCCCTGACCTTCCAGGAGGGCTAAAAAATCGCACCCGACTTAAAGAACCTATCCCAAAGCTATTCTACGCCTTGGTTTTAGGCTGTTTCGCTCAGCTCTTTAGGTTTTTAGGTCTCCAGTGCTAAAAAATAGCTCTCTGGAAGGTCAGGGAGCCTGTTTGTTTTTAGACTCTGGCAAGTTTACTTGCATGGACGGGGGGGGGGCTGAGCCTGAAGCAAGCCGCAAACGACTTGCACGTTCGGGGGGGCGCGGAAATCACGCCGCAAGTCGAAAGGCACTTGCACGCTAGTATTCGCTTGAAGAGGGGCGAGGGGGGGGGGGGGGGGGGGGCGAACACCATGCAAGTAAACTTGCCTGAATCAAAACAAAAAAAACAGGCTCAAGGTCAGGGGAGTTGCACTCGGGCCAGGCCTCGAGCGCGCGCTGTCCACACGACGGCGGCGCGAGGGCCTTGGCGCTGCCCGGCGTGCCCGGCCGCTGCCCCGGCGGCGGGGAGCCCGGCGGCGGGGCCCCCGGCGAGGGGGCGCCCGCCTCCCGCGGCCACGGCCACAGCGACGCGGCGCCCGCGCCCGCCTGGCCCGCCGCTCGCGGCGAGGGCCGCCGCTCGCCGCTCGCCGCCGCCGCCGCCGCCGCCGATCGCCGTCGTCGTCGTCGTCGTCGTCGTCGTCGTCGTCGTCGCCGTCGTCGTCGTCGTCGTCGTCGTCGTCGTCGTCGTCGTCGTCGTCGTCGTCGCCACCGCCACCGCCGCCGGCGTCGTCGAAGAGGGTTCCAAGAGGATCTCTAGGCTTGAGGCCTCCCAGATGGGGTCGGAGTAGATTTGAGTCGGGCGTGTCCCCCTACATGGGGATTTTGGGCGAAAAAATGAAAAATACAAAAACAAACAAAAAAAATCGTCCCCAGACTATTGTTTTACTATTTTTGAATATTCCCCCTGTAGAGGGACAGGCTCGACTTAAGAGCAGATGGGGTCGGAGGATCGAGCCGCGTCGGCGATGCATGGCCGATGCATCGGTGATGCATCGAAGACGTCGGCGATGCATCGGCGCTGTCGGCGTGGAGAGCTATGGCTCCACATCGCCGACGCATCGGCGATGCGGCACGATCCTCCGACCCCATCTGCTCGGACCCCATCAGGGAGGCCTAGAAGGAAGCGATCATCGTGGATGCCCCCCTCGATTCTCCATGATTTTAGCATTCTCGCCATTTCGGGCTTCCGACAATCCAAGACGACCCCATAGGCCCGCAAGAGTACCCCAAGAGGCCGTACAGATGGGCCAAGAGGGCGTTGCCGTCGCCGTCGTAATCGTCGTCGTCGTCGCGACGTCGAGCCCGTCGTCGATCGGTGGAGGATCGGAGACCCAGGCCTTTGGACGCTTGTTCTTGGCCTCCCAGGACGCCCTCGTCGCCACGGCTGCGTCTGCCTCGAAATCTTGGCCAGAAGGCGCCCCGCGCAGGACAGGGCCAAGGTAGATGTTGTTTCCCTCTCGTCCGTGAGGGCTCTACACCTTCATTCTCGCGCCCGCTGCTGGAGCCCAGGCACCCGGGCTCTACAAACCCGTTCCCACGACCGGTCGAGGCGCCTCCGTCACCACGGGTAGATCCGCTTCACATGATGGTCGGAACGCAGAGCAGATCAGGTCCAGGCTTCCTTCGCCCCCCTCGGCCCTCGAGGATCGAATGTCTGTTTTTTTGGGGGGAGACTGCCAGCCTCTGCTTTGCCGCCAGGGCCCTGAAGGCCTCAAGCCACCTCCTCATTCCTCTCCTCCTCCAGACCTCTGGCGACTCCAGATAACAATTATGTTTTTTCGCTGTTCGATCAGCATTCGGAGAAAGCTTCGGCGCAGGAGGCCGTTAGAGAACTACCTGGGAAGGAAACCGTCCTCGCACACGCTGGCCCCTTATTGTCCCTCCTCCTCCTCCTCCTCCTCCTTCTCCTCTTCATCCCGTCCTCCTCCTCGTCCTGCTCGTGGTTGTCCTCCTTCTCTTCCATCGCACTATCCTTATCCTTGCCAAAAAACGGCCCCTTGCAGAGCGCTGTTGCATTCCTGGGCGATAACAGGCGTTACCGGGGAGAGGGGGGCGGGGGGCTGGTACGGTGAGTTTCGCGCTGGCGCCATCTGGGAATGTCTAGGGATAGCCAGAAACACCCGGGAGGTCAGCCGAATCGTAACGTTATCTGGAAGGGGGGGGGCGCGGCCTGGGCGTTCTCGCGAAAAATCCGCCACCGTGCGGCACGTTGAGGCGTGGACGAATGCCAAGGGCTGCCTGGCAAGGTTTCTGCAGTCCTCTGAGGCATCCGAAGAGGCCCCAAGGGGCCTCAAGACTGCTCCCAAGAAGACTCTCAACTGCCTCCAAGAGGCCTCCAAGAGGCCAGGATATCCCAACGAACACCCAGTAGGCTTCATACCCACAACCCGAACACGGTGGCGGGACTTGCCGTAAGCATCTGGAAACAAAAGACGCTCTCCTGTCGTATCCGCAGGCGTGTCGGTGGGGCGGGCGGGGCGTCCCGCCCGGGGCGTCCTAACCACATATGGTCATGAAGACCGGAGCCCGCAACAGTTGCAAGGATGAGGCGCGAGGCGCTTTCAAAACCTGACTCTCGACTTGGCACTGAGCACAGTCGGGGCTCTCACCTTGGCGCCGCACACATCCGTACTTCCCCTCAGGGGTAGGTCGGGCAGGTCCTGCTACAGGCGAGTTCTGGAAGAAAGGCTGCACACAGTAAGCAATATGCTCAGCAGTAGCGAGCAACAGCAGAAACATCGTCACCACACAATAGGCTTACCCGTCTTGGAGTGTTCCTCCCGTGGAGGGACGTCCCTCACTTAACCTCAGGGACTCTTGTCCAGCGTTCTTGGGCCCGGGTCATGGGGTCTGGGTGTCCCGGGCCTGCGCGCCGCGTCTGCGCCCGCACCCGCTCGTGGGCGCCTCGCGCGCGGGCTCGGCTTCCCGAGGCCTCGCCGCGCTGGGCGCCCGTGCCCCGCGGGCGGGGCGCCTCGTCGGCGCCTCGTGCGCGCCGGGCGGGCGTCCCGAGGACGTGCCGCGCTCGTGATCGCGCCCGCACTCGCGGGGCCCTCGCGAGGCCCTCCATGCTCCAGAATTGTGGATGCCACGACAGTGCGCACCCTAACAGTCCTACCATCGAATTGCAGATGTGTGTAAGATGTAGGAACAATGTCTGGACAATGTTTAGAGCAAATGTTTTTACGTGTTTAAAGCAGTTTTAGCACATCCTCTAGACACCTGGAGATTGTTTGGCAACATGCTTCCTCTCCCTTGCTCGTCCTCCACGGCTCTGGGTGGGTGTCCCGAGGATTCGCCGCGCTGGCGCCCGTGGTCCGCTCGTGGGCGCCTCGCGGGCGCCCACGAGCGCTGGGGGGGCTCTCGAGGGTCGCCTCGTGAACGCCCGTGCGCCCTCGCGGGCGCCACTCGGGCGCCAGCCTGCATCACATCGCTGGCACAGCATGCCTCACGCCGTACAGCGCACGCCTCACAGCGTACATCGCCGAGCTTCGACCCCACGGCTTATACCACCAGACTTGCACCATGCAGCTTGGCCCGTAGAGCTCACACGGTATGGCTTGCACCACGTGGCTTGCGCAACATATCCCCAACCTCCACAGTGCAACATCTCACTGTTTGGGGCCGGAGCTGGCAAACATACGCTGTAACTGCGACAGTTGCAATGGTGTGTGTGTTGTGAGTGTGTGCTGTGTGTGCGTGTGTGTGCGCGTGTGTGTGTGTGTATGAGTGTGTGTGTATTTTGTGTGTGCTGTGTGTGTGTGCGTGTGCGTGTGCGTGTGCGTGTGCGCGTGCGTGTGTGTGAATGTGTGTGAGTGTGAGTGTGAGTGTGTGTGTATGTGTCTGTGGGGGGGGGGGGCGAAGGTTCCTTGTCAAGCATGGGCCTTCTCCAAAACGCCGTGCAGGCTCGTCAACGTTTCGTACCAGTCACACCGAAAGCGTGGCCGACGGTTCCTTCTCAAGATGAGGCTATCACTCGAGGCGCCTCGGAGTGTAAGAGCTCGATGCTTCAAAGTGATTAGGAACTGCACGACGGGAGGGCGGTTCCGTTTCAAACTTTTCGCTCGAGACGCCCTCGAAGTTCATTACCAGGAGTGTGAACGTGTGCAACAATAACACGAATTGGGAGCGATCCTTTTGCAGCACGGGGATTGCGTTGGATGCCTCGTTGAAATGCATGGTCATACCTTTTCTTAAGCTGGACTGCGCGCCGAACAGATGCAATTCAACTGCTTGTCACAACGAACCCTCGCCTGAAAGGCAAAACCATGGGGTGTTGGTCGTTACATGGTGCGCCTCTTGTCGTTCAACGGCGAATTTTAGGGACATGGGGTGAGGGGACTCGAGACGGGATTACGCATTGCAGCATTGCCGTTCTAGGTCTGCTATGAGCCTCCTCCTCCTCCCCCTCCTCCTCCTCCTCCTCACCCCCGTCTTGCGCCCAGCTTCGTCCTCCCCCATCGACCCCCTCTTCCTGCTTCTCTAGCGCCTCCCCCCTCTCCTCCATCTGCGAGTACACAATATAAATACAGCGCTCTCCTCTCTCTCCCCCGTCGACCCCGAGGATCTAGCCTGCCCCCCCTCTGCCTCTTTTCCACATCGGACCCCAGAGGCTGATCGGCCACATGTGCGTTTGCAGTCCCAACGTTTTCGGTGTCTCCAGGCTGGCGCTCCCGGTGCAGCGTTGGCTCCACGTCGTGGCCCCTGGCCCCTCCAACCCTACTCCCGCTGTAACACTGACCTCATTTCTGTGGTGCGGACCTTCCAAGCCGTGTGTTCCCGCTACGACGTTGGCTCGCATGTAACGCCTGTGTGCAGTCCGGATGCCGTCGGTCCTTCCAAGAATGCGACCTCCTCTGTGTTTAGCCTCATTTCCGCACTTCCTGCTCTTCCACCACGGCGTTCCTGTCTCATCGTTGGCTCCATGTCTGTGTTCCGGGCCACTTCGGAGAGAAGATCCACGACATGGTACAAGGTGGGAGGGAGGGGTATGACGTCAAAATTGACGCGAGCGCACCTAGCTGGGCTCCCCATCTCGCCTCCCTCCCCCTCCTCCTGCTCCGTCTCCTCCCCCGCCCCCACCACTTCCCCCCGTACTCTCCAGAGAAGGAGGAATGGGAGGGGCGGAGGACGGAGGAGGCGCCGCCCGAACACGGAGGGCACTCCCTCATCTGGATGCTCTCGGTTCTTCTGCTGCTGCGGCTGCTGCTGCTCCTCTTTCTCGTCGTGCTCCTCCTCCTCGTCCTTGTCGTCGTTTTCCTGGTCCCCTTGCTCCTGCGTCCTCCTCCGCCGCCCGCTTCTCTTTCCAGCGGCTCCCAATGCTCTCTCCCAAGCTCAGACCGAAGGCACTGCAGCAAGGGGAACGATTCCATGATCCTGGTCCCCCACTCCGCCTCGCCACTGGGCGTGAGCTTGGATGGCCAGGGAGAAAATATGAGAGAGCGCGCCCGTGGTCCACTCCCGAAAAGGGGGGGTCCACCCTTAGCTACCCCCACCCCCCCTTGGACCTCCCACGCCAGAAGGCCCCCCCGCCCCCCTGATGTTTTCTG